TTATTATTATTATTATTATTATTATTATTATTATTATTATTATTATTGCAACAAGGTGGAAGTATTTATAATTGTTTTTCGGGAATGCTTTTTCAGCTTCCCAATCTAGAGTACAGCTATAGGATTTCTGTTGGTCTTTTATCCAAGTGGTTAGGTCTGACTCTGCTTGGCCCAGATACCCTGATTAAGTTATCTTTCCATTTCATGAACCCCAAGCAGATTTATAAAGAATGCAGATCTATTTTGGAAAAATAGGAAGTCAAACATAAAAAAAAAAACCACCCTCTGTCTAGCAACACTAAGGAATTGTGCTGTTTATGTGGAATAATTCCAAGGGTTTCCATCCTAGATGTATGCGTTCTTACTGCCTTTTGGAATAAGCAGCTATGTGGCTATATCCTTCCTGTGTCCTTTGTTTTTTCTGCTATGAGAATCAGACATGACCACATCAGACCCTCTGAACCCAGATAAAAGTCACAAAGTGCTACCATCATTTGAAACTTGGTTTAATTTACTGCAATTTTAATATAATTAGTATCAAAATTATGGGAATTAAATGCCATTAGTATTATTACTTCCTTATCATGAAACATATGAATCAGCAGCAGCATGTTTGGGAGATGCTCCAGAAATATATGAAACAATCTGAGAATCAGAGTTATTAATATGAATAATGCAAGTATTATTAATAATAATAACAACAATAATTGCATGAAGAAGTAAAGCAACTGTGTCAAAAGAAAGCAAAGGCAGTATCATGGGTGCAATCCCGAAACATCTGGAGCACCACTTGAATACTTTCAGCCTTTGCAAAATCATCATTAGCCAATTGCAAAAGGCAGCTTTACTTGGAACACTTTACATCCTGTGATGATATGTTTAATCCCATAATCCCTTATTTCCCCGCCCATCCAGCAACCTGTGCTGTCTTCCCCATCAAAATTTAAATTGTAAACCTCTTGAGGGAGAGACATATCTTTGATAGAGCTGTGTAAAAACTGGATATTTGATTTGATTTTATAAAATAGTGAGGTGCCCTTTGGTCAATGAAGTCTAGATTAAATGATGATGGAAGCAGGCATGGACCTATAAATTTATACTTCATTATCTGCATTTGCATCTCCATCTCTGTCTTCATCTTACCCCAATTTCATAGTCCAGGGTAAAATGAATCAATTTCTTGGATAGGGGTCTGAAGAGATTTCTAATTTATACTTCCAGATAAAATTCTACTGAACACTATTAAAAGTCTAAATGCTCACATTGCTATGACATTTTGGTTGAGCTGTGTGTTTCCCATAAGCGGTTCTCAAATGTCATATGTAGGTAAAGAGAAGCCTTAGTGTAGACAGGAGCTCTGCTTCTGAGAAAGCCCAAAGGGAAGTGTTCTTTTATGAATGCCATTGTATTAAGGAGATGGTGGGAAGACAGAAAGGCTGCAGACCGCTGGGGAGGCATTTGTACAGAGAAAGGCAAAAGAATTCATATTCTTCCCTTGGCTACCTTATAATAGAAGAAGTGCAAGACTACCATCCTGCACCCTAAGAATTTCTTCAAAATTTCTCTTTCATCAAATGGAATGATAATTTATTGGGAAAACTTTAGTTTTTACTTGTCACTCATAAAAATCCATTTGTGATAGACTGCAGCATATTTAGATTGTATCCAAAGGAAATTAAGGAAATTATCAAGGAGTTTTTCTGACTGTTATATCAGCAGTTGCTATCTGATATCCTGTATATGGAACAAAAAAGCTAAATTTGTTTAAAAAAAATCTGTTTACAATTTGTATTGCTGCTTATTGATCTCTTTCAGAACAATGGCGCAACAGAGCATCAGATAGAGTCCTTTATAAGAAAAAAACTTGAAACCTTACTCAAAGAGTCTCAAATCAGAGACAAAGAAGACACTGATAGCTTCACTGTGAGGGCACTTTTAAAAGCAACGCATGAGGGCTTAAATGTGAACTTTAAACAGGTAAGAAGTTTTTCTTACTCTTCTGGGAATAACTATAGCTGCTATTATGACCTACATTTTTAATTGACTGCAGACGTCCCATAAAAAATAACTGTTCTTTTGTTCATCCTGTATTTATATCCTGCCTTTTAATTTTTTTACAAACAGCTCATTTCTTTTAACTGGACTGTTTGAGCAGAAGGTTGGATCAGAGGACTTAAAGCTATAATTTTATTTTTTATATCCCAGAAACTGCTTTTAAAAAAATCTTATTATTTTGAATATCAAAATGGTGAGCCTGTGTATTCTGCAAATGGCTATATTTTGAAATCTTGAAAGCTTCCAGTCATGAAGCCCTACAACTTTAAGAGACAGGCTGTTCTGTTGCTTAAGAGCTCTTAGGGTTTTCCATATTTCAAGTTTGGATCTACCACACTAAAGCTTCCACCTACTGGTTCAAATGCTCTGGAGAATACATCAGCACCCTCTTTCTTGGTCTTTCAGGTCGCTTGAAGTGTTGTTCTTTCAGTCACTCAAAGTATTGTTGTTTCAGTGTGAATCTATCCTTTGGTCACATGTATGTGTGCTTTTCCCCTTTATACTCTTATACGCTGGGTGCCACCTTGGAGTTTCCAAGTAGTGTGTAAAGAATGTAGGCAGGGGTGGGCTGCTGGGGTTCGCAGTGGTTCAGAAGAGCCCCTAGCTAAGATTCTGTGCAGTTTGGAGAATGCCCAAATCCCACTCTTGGCTGGCCCAGCCCACCCCGCCCTTCCCAGGAATCCCCATGAGGGCCTTTTTGGATGCAGGTAAGTGCACCTGAAGTTTGGAAAGGCCAGAAATTGGCCCATTTCTGGCTTCAGAAGCCTCTGGAGCCTGGGGAAGGGCAAAAATGCTCCCCCCGGCACAGTGCAGGAGGCTGACTAGGCCACGCCCACCATAGCACACCCACCCAGCAACTAGGCAGGGAACCCTTTGCTAAAATTTTTGAAGCCCACCCCTGAATGTAGGTGACTCAACTGAGAGCATGTATTAGTAAAGAAATTCTCACATTATATAATCTGCATCCTAAACTGGAAATAAATATCTAGAATTAATGGTCAATGTATAAAGTTGAGCTAAGTCTAGAAAATGGGGAGGGAAAACTGGTTCCTTGTTCTTCACCAAAAAGTGAATGGATCATAGATTCCTGTTGCAGGCCACATATTGTATAATGGAAACACCTTGCACTGTGAATAGCTGAGGAAATGTATCTCAGTGCCTTTTTCAGCTCTATATGAATGCATGTTCTGACAGAAACATTGGATCCTCAAGCTGTTGACTCCAGGGAGTCTCTTGTGTGTGAATCTCAGATGGGCTGGAACTATGACTCCGGATCTTTTTTCTTGCTTTTCCTAGTTATCTCAGAATGTCAAATTGATTTGACCTTCTGAGTAATATTTGGTCTGACTTCATTTAAATGTCTGAGTACAAAACAATGTTTTGGGAGCACTAGATTTCTGTAGGTATTTTATTTACCAAATGTATCTATGATTTACAAATATATAGAAAATGAAATAATGGGGATACAGGCAACAAAAAAGGTCAAATATTTAGGCATATGGTTAACACCACATAGTAAATCACTCAAAGAGAATAATTATGATAAACTGTTACAGCAAATTAAGAAAGATCTAGAATCTTGGAATAAGTTGCAGCTTTCTCTACTGGGCAGGATTGCCACAATCAAAATGAACATCTTACCAAAACTCCTTTACTTATTCCAGACAATCCCAATAAAATTACCAAAAAATTTTTTTGATGATATAAATAAGGTAACTCTTAAATTTATTTGGCAAGGGAAAAAAGCTAGAATCAGTATTAAGGCCTTACAAGATGCAAAAAGTAGAGGTGGGCTAGCGCTTCCAAACTGGGAATTATATTATTGGGCAGCCAACTTATTATGGTTAAAAGACTGGGTCAATTTACGGAACAAAAGAACTTTAGTCTTGGAAGGGCACGACCTTCAGAGAGGATGGCACGCATTTCTATGGGATGTGGGGAAAACTAAACAGGCGTACTTTCATAGACATCTTATTAGAGATTCACTATTAACTAATTGGAAAAAAATATGTAAAAAACATTATTTAAAAATTCCGATTTGGCTTTCAACAATGGAGGCAATGGTTCATCCCAACAATTTGGATATAACAAAAACGACTAAATATAAAGATTTATTAGACCCTTTAGGAAAATTAAGAACTCGACAGGACTTACAGGAACAGGGATTTAAAATTGATCAGTGGTTATATATACAAATCCATAGTAGATACAAACAAGATATCAAAGAGTTTGGAATCTATAGCAAATTACAACACTTAGATAAAATCTTATTAGGATCAAATAAAAAGAATATCTCTAAATTTTATAAATATTTATTGGAGGTAGAATTAGAGCAAGAGATAGTGAAAGGGAACATGATAATGTGGAGTAGGAATATTGGAAGAAGCATTACATTAACAGAATGGGAAAAGATCTGGAATAGAATCATTAAGATTACGAAATCTGCGGCGTACAAAGAAAATATGTATAAAATGTTATATAGATGGCACTTATCCCCTTCGAGGTTAGCGAAAATGAACCCAAACTCTAGTCCAAAATGTTGGAAATGTAAAAACATAGAGGGAACCTACTTTCATATGTGATGGACCTGTAAAGAAGCCCAGAAATACTGGCAAAAAATTAGAAAATGGCTGGAGGAGATAACCAAAGAACAAATCGAATACAAACCAGAGTTCTTCCTACTAGGGATCTCTGATAAACATTTTCCTAAAAAGACAAAATATATAATAATTCATATTCTAACTGCGGCCAGATTAGCATTTGCCCAGTGCTGGAAATCATCCTGTTTACCTACAGATCAATTGGTCATTCAGAAAATATGTGACTGCGCAGAAATGGACAATTTAACCATAGCTCTTAAAAATAAAGAGTCTTCAGCATTTGATAATAATTGGAATGCGTGGTATAATTGGTTATATCAGAGATAAACTGTTCAATGAATAATGGGTAATTTAAGCATAAATAGTGATAAGATGTGTATATTTAAAGTAAGGTAGGAGAATTGGATCTTGCAGACTGTCAAAAAGAATATCTGTCTGGTTTTAACGTATTTTCTTTTTTCTTCCGTCTCTTTGTTTTTTTTCTCTCTTTTATACTTCTTTTTCTCCTTTTTCGGTCGCAAGACCGAGCGTTTTTTTCGTTTTTTCTTTTCCTCTCTCTTTCTCTTCTTTCTTTCTTCTTTTTCTCTCTCTGTTGCATATGTAATGTTGTTATGTTATTTTTTAATTGTAAATTCAATAAAATTTATATATATATAAAAAAGAAAATGAAATAATGTACAGAATCTCTATTTCTGTGCATAATAATATAGCATATAGTGGTTTGTGCAATAAAATGAAGATTTTTCTAGTACCAGTTATGACTCTTCCTATTGCTGTTCTCAACCTGGTTTATTACACTATTGTCTCTTTGCCTTGGGACTGAAAAGTTTAAGAATGCACAGTTTTCAGATAGTTGAAATCCTAGCGTAATCTAATATCTGCTAAAATTACCTTAAAATTAAAATATATCATTTGGAATAAATAATATAATTAATAATATCTGGCTTTTGATGCTCTCTCCTTTCTTGGGCAACTGTACTGTAAGTCTTGATTTAAGGGATATGAGATTTGCTCTACAATACACAGCTAATGACTTTTGAGAAGATACTGATGAAATGAAGATGAAACAGTTTTGACTAATGTATATTACCTATTTTCTTTTCCATGGGTATTACTAAGATAACCCAACAAAATAAAACAACCAAGCATTGGCTTCTTAATAAAAAGTGGAATTCAAATGAGATGTGATGGTTATGAGACAAAGATGAAGTTTCAATAGATCTTAAAATTATTCCTGTGAGCAAGTTAGTTGCAGTTAGTATCTGTTGTTTCTTTTTGACTCTTTATGTTCAGTTAGTATAAGCCAGAGACAAGATTAAGTTTGAAAATTAGCTTTAGGGTAGGAATTAAAATACAAGGAAAGAAATCAGTTCTATTCTGAAGTAGAATTTTGTATAGTTCTAATAGGCCAGGCAAGAGTGTTCTTTCTCTACACTGTCCAAAACCATCACTATCCAAATGCAGTGTTGATCTTGTGTGATTCACATACAAAAGACACAGAGGGAGAGAGAGAGGGAGGGAGAGAGAGCACGCCGAAGAGCATCACATATTATTTTATACTACTCCAATACTCTTCTTTTCAGGGCAAACTAGCTACCTTTAGACATCACAGACATAATGTGGGGCATGTCTGTTTGTCTTTTCCTTTCAGCTTTAATCCTAACCATCCTTGAGAGATTTTTAATGTAAGTGCATTAAATCACATTTGGGCCTTATTCACTAGTTACTGAGCAACCAACTACATGTAAGGCATTTTAAAGCTCTGCTGTAGATGACAATTTCTTTTCTTTCTACCAGCCAGCCTTTGGGAGTAGAAACTGGCCTTTCTAATATTTTATGAGATGGTTAAATTGATCAGGCAGGAGCAAATGTGGTAAACAATTAAATTAGAAAATGATTTTGATGAATTCGTTGTTTTTCACAGAATTCAGGTTTGAAGGACACTAACAAAAAATCTCACAGTAAACTCATGGGCAGCTTCGGTAAACATAAGGTAAGTAGTAATATGATTATGAAGCCTTTTCCCCTGACCCTCACCTCTGTACTACCCATCTAAATCAACATTTCTCAATGGTGTGAATTTGAAGATAGGTGGACTTCACACATGCCAGCCGAGGAATATTGACTATCTACACATCTTAAATTTGACAACGTTAATAAAAACTGATGGACCTAAAAAAAAGCTGCAGCTTCCAAGAATATTTGTTTATGATTGGGGAATTAGGGTTAAATTTTAGCCCACAGACAGGATCCAAATCTGCCTGATTATTCAAAATGTGAACTTGGTGAAACTGATAGATTTGCAACTATTCTATGACGTGATTATTAGATAAAACTTTAGTTCATACCTTTTTTAAAAAATGGAACATTTTTTATGAAAGAAAATTTAAAAACCTTGGAGAAATGAGAGAATTTTCACAACATGTTATAGTAAGGGTTAAACATTTAGATGTTATCACCTTGTAACAATAAAGGTTTTCAGTTATTTTATACTGGAAATTATGAGTATACCAAAGTCTCCATTCCATTTTTTTTTTTAAAATGTTGGTTTGAATGATTTTTCACAAAATGGTAAAAGAACCATTTAGCCTGAAGGTATTTCTTATAAAAAATATCTGTAACTGTCTTCCAGATTGATTTTCAGCAGAGGCCTTTTCAAAAGATAGCAGGGGTAAAATGTTCCATTTTTTTTGCAGACTTTTGCTAGAGGTAGTCATCCTTATGTCATTACTTTCTTAATCAATATAGCTCCAATCTTCAAAATATTGAAGCTTGAGAATAGAAAAATTTTACAGGCTGCTGACAAGGAATACAAAGTATTTAGACAGAGGAAAGAGGAGGAAAAACACATAGTTAAACATCTGGACTGCAAAGTGGACTACTTTTGTTTTGTGTAGATTTGTCTGCTTCTTTCTTTCTCTTAAAGTAGCTTGCAAATCACCAAGTTGCTGATCAAAGTACATCAGCAAACTCTCACAAAATGAAAAATCATAAAATGTTGCCTAGGATTTACTGTTTACAAATAAGATAAATGAATCATCTTATTTTGTATAATTGAGGCCACTGTTAAATAAGACTTTGACTTTTCAAACAGAAGGCAGCTAAATCCAAGTCCAAATCTCACAGCACATCCGATGATGAAGACTCTCAACAAAATGTGTCTGGAAAAGAATCTGGACAATTATACAGGTTAGTAACAATCATCATATATACACATACACATAAACATACATATACATGTAGTGAATTAAGAAATGAAGAATTACAGCAATACACTGCAGGGCAGAATTTGGATCCATTCAGTTGTAAATGATGTAGAAGTCAATTATGCTTCATGACTTAACTCATTATGTAATACATAAGCTATGATTGTTTCATGTGTATGTTTGCATTAAAGAAGCTTCCTATTTATCTTGCCTTTGTCAAACTTCAAAACCAAGAAAGATATACTGAGGTTCTGCTAAGCAGTTTCCTTTATTGCTACTCATCTATAAACATGTTCTCACCAAATCAAAGCAGACACGACTTGCACCATTAAACATACTGTATACTCTCTGAACTGGGTATGAGCAGTCTTAACTCTTCGTCCCAGACAAACTACCAAAACTTTGCTATCTTTTTTTATCTCTTCTGAAATGCACTCTCTCCCTTCTGGGAATCTGGACCATGTTCTACCACATTTTCCCCAAATAAGGCAACTAATATGTGTCCAGCTTTCTTTAATTTTATTGTATACACCTAAATAGAAGGCATGCACATGTAAAGGTTTAGGGCTGAAATGAAGTGTTAAAAAATAATTGGAGTCCCTGAAAACTGTTCCATCTTTCAACATGTCTATTTTTTTCTCCTTTCCTTTTTCCTCCTCTTCTTTTTCTGTTTCCCTCTTTGCATTTTTGATCATCAAGTAATAATTATTTGTTGTTTAAAGAAAGAATGATATGCTTACCACACTAATTTTTTGACATGATGGAAAAAATAATTCATGATAGAGAGATCAATTTATAATTCCATTTACCTTTTGAAAAATCCTTTCTTTTCCCAGCAGGTTGGCTCGGCGGAGGAAAACAATGAAGCTATGCCGTGACCTTTCTGATCTAGTGGTGTACACAAACTCAGTGGCAGCTCAAGACATAATTGATGATGGTAAGGTTGTTTGTAATTTATATTAAGGAACATATTAATATTGTGTGCTTAATAGCAATAACAGCACTTAGACTTATAGATTGCTCTACAGTACTTTACAGTGCTCTTTAAGTGGTTTACAGAGTCATCTGGGTGCTCATTTTACTGATCTTGGAAGGATGGAAGGATGAGTCAATCAGGATCAAACTCTTGGTAGTGGGCAGAGTTAGCCTGCAATACTGCATCCTAACCACCGAGCCACCACACTCCTTAAGTGTGTATGTGTATGTGTGGGTATGTTTTTTGTATATGGAAACCTGAGAAAAAATGTATTGATATGATGTGATGGTATTTAATAATTCTATCACATCAGTATGTTCATTCATGCAAGGAGAAGATAAATGAGGCTTCCAGTGGTTGTTGTAGGAAGGATTAAATCCAAAAACATTTTCTGTAGTTACTATAGTCCTCTAGATAATACTTGCCTCAGGTGGTAACCTCTGGCTGGTCATGTTTGCTTTTGAAAGAGTTGGACTTTTATTACTTGCATAGGATTCCTCCAGAGATCAGGGTTGCAGGTTAGATAGGAGGTTGGGGGGGAAAGACATCAGTTTATCCATTTCATAATGGTTTAGAATATTGTACATTTTATCCCCAGCCTTATAAGATGTGAATGAGGATTATTGGGTTGGAATATAAGACATACACACAACTTAGAGACCTTCCAGTGCAATAGCTAACTAATGTTGCAATCTTTTTTTAAAATAATAATAATAATCATGTAGTATTCCTGAGAAAATGAAGAAAAAGAATCTTTGAACCTGAATTTAACAAATCTTTTTCACTAATTGTGAAGAAATTGGGGGTGCCAGTATGGACCAAAGTTGACATAGAAGCTACATTATAATGCTGTATAAGGTATAAGCAGAATTTGGAACACTAATGAGAATATTTGTGATTTCTGCAATAAATTAAATTGGTTTCAAATGTGTCATACTTTAATTCTCATATATTCTAGCAAGTGTGCCTCATGGGAATTTTAATACAAGGCATTCTGAGTAGAGTACATTAAGAAATGTCAATCTTAATTAATAAGATTGTCTGAAAAATTGTGACTTATTGTCAAAGAGATGGCAGAACAGTAAATGGGCAAATAGATTATCAATTATATTGTAGTTTGGATAGGTTAGGGCTGATCTTGCACTCCATTGACATAATTTTTCATCCACCAGTGACCATCATTTCTCATGCTTCAAGTTGATTTTAAAAGCTAGCCTATACATTTGATAAAATAGTAGACAGTTTTAGAAAACATTCTATGCTACAAGTTCTGTGACTTTTCATTCCTGTAATGTGTTGTTTTCTTCTGGTATAAAAGTAATAGAAGTTATGATCCCAGCGTTGGCATGGCAGAGGTAGAAAACAAAGAAAGATTCAATTGAAGTACATAAAACTTTAAGGCATGATGGCTTTAGAAAGAGGATTGAGTGGGTGGATTTATATGCTGACATCTACTGCTTGTGACAAAGCTACCTATGACTCAGTTTATACTTGTTGATTCTTGTCTATTGGTAATTCATCTCTGAGAACTGTTTACAGTGTTTCTTTCACAATTTTTTGTTTTCCTTCCAGCATGTATCTTGTATCCTCTTGCTTGCTTTTTTTTTATTTTAAAGTTTTATCTCACTTGCAATCCCTCCAGGCTTCTACCCAGTCCTGCCGTTCAGCTTTTCTCTGGAATAAATATTTGATAAGCAATGTCGCTGGATATGTCGCAGCATGTATAGATACTCATATCTATCTTTCCACTCAGCAGCCAATCCAAGATAGTGTCTTGGGTAGTGTTTTTAATATCAGAATAACTATCTGCCTATAAAACAGATGACATACATGAGTAATTATACTTTAGCAATCTTCTGCAAAGAATTTGCCATCTGGATTTAGGCCTGCTGGGATATCAGATAAGGACTGAGGTGAAATCATATTGAACTTGATAAGCACTGTTAGAGCAAATGAAAAAGTGCTAGCAGCCTATTTTGTGGAACAAAGTTGAGGGGAAGCTTGTAATGACACTTCTTATTTTATCATGAAGCAACCATGTCTTCTTCAATTTCTGTCAGACTTGAGCATCACTAAAAAAAACAAGAGTCAGCATGCAGGATTTTCATTCCCCTCAAACATCACTAGAGGGATATATTGGGTTGTGGTTACATTCCAATTTCTGTGAGAATTTTTAAGGTAAACCATGCTTAGCTATTTCTGTTGGCCCAAGTGTCAATTACTTCTGAATACAAAGACAGAATTGAAATTCTGCTTGTAACATTTAGTAAAGTCTCAAATGTATTGACATAAAGTTTAATTTCTTTAATTTCCCCTGTGATTTAACTTCAGCCAATCTACAGTATTACTTAAACCAGTCAGGGGAGCCACAGGTGTCTGTGATGTGAAAAATTAATTACCTTGGTTTAAATCATGAAGCTTTTTTAGGAAGGCCTTTTAAATTAATGCTTAGAATAAATCCTCATCCAAAATTCACTGAAATTCTTCATTTGATAAACCAAATTAGTATTCAGAAATTTAAGGGAAGAAGTAGTAATTATGCCATGGTTTAAAAATGTCCACATAAATATTTATGTATGTGAAACTAAATTTATTTTGTAGCTTTGTTGCTACTAGGAACAGCCATACAACAGTCCTGGCAGATCAGCATGGAATACTGAAATAGGAAATATTGCTTGTTGCCTTGACAAATAGATTGAAGCGTTCACTTTCCTCTGTTGTTTAGAGAAAGCAAATAGTGCGCTACATTCATTTGCCCTGAATGGTGGCACTGTCTAGTCACTACTATTCATAATGGAATCCTTGAGGTGACTTGCTAGAAGAGGGCTATAATATAGAATCATAAGGTTGGAAGAGATCTTGGAGGTCTTCTTCTCCCTGCCCAGTTGAGTAATCCTCGTACCATTCTAGACAAATGGCTGTCTTATCTTTCCTTTAAAACTCCCAGAGATACCCATGACTCCAGGAGGCAGACTCTTCCATCACTTAATAGCTCTCACAATCAGGAAAATTTTCCTTACTTCATTTTGGACTCTCTACTGCCTCTTCCATGTGCTATCCATTCATTTATTGGAAGACTGCTATTATGTTGCCCCTTGCCCTTCTCTTATTTAAACTAAATCTACCAAGCTCTTTTAACTACTCTTCACAGAATTTCACCTCCAAGCTTCCTGCCATTTTTGATGCTGTTCTCTGAACTCTTTCCATTTCCTCAGGGTTCTTTATGTATTGTGGTGACCAGAACTGGGCATAGTAGTTCAAATGTGGTCTGCCTAGTACAGCATAGAGAAATTATTGCTTTTCATGTTCTCAGCACTATTGATACACTCTAAAATTACATTGAGCCTTTCTAAAGATATGTATATATATCAAGTTGTTAATTAGACTTTAATGATTTTTTTTCTTTAGTGTTTGAAAACCTATTTTCATTTTCTTGGTGAAAATTTAGTGCACTGCGAAATTTAAAGATCATTTTACATTTTTCGATTCTGAACCAGGAAAAAAATAATAATGGGGCATTTAGCATATTCGTATGCCTTTTCTTTTGAAACCCTACAAATGCAAACTCCTGTCTATGCCTTTTTCTGTTAATCATTTTAACATGCAGGATCAGTGGGGAATGTATTATCCTTCAGTGAGACAAGAGCTCATCAGGTGATCCAGCAAAAATCAGAGCAGTTCATCCTTTATAACCAGCAGCAGCTCACCAGAATCTATCCATCTGCCTACAGGATTGACTCTAGCAACTTTAACCCTGTACCATATTGGAATGTTGGATGCCAGCTTGGTGAGTGATGCCTGGTATTGTCAATTATATAGGTGCCCATGGACATGCGGCTGTTGATCCCACGGACATGTGCTTGTTTTATTATCTACCTATATTCATTCTATATGTGAGGTAATGGTAGTTCACATAGTATAAAAAGTATAGACCTACAAAGACGCATTTAGAAGATTGCTTCTTTTGCTCCATAAAGAGAGTTAGTAGCTGTGGATTAACAGAGTATCAAATCTATTACTGCTGTCTCCTTGGAATCAATGCACTTCAGAACTTCTATAGTGGGCTGATTCAGCAATGGGAAGTTCCTTGATGAATTGTTGTATGTCTTCCCAATTAGCTGCAGGCAGGAAAGGGGAACAGATAGCTTGATGCCCATCATTGTTCTTAAGTCAGACTTGTCTAGCCTGATACCTTCCACTAGATTTGGACTATGTTTTCCAGAATGGCCAATCAGCTTGGTGCAATGAATTCAGTCCTGTTTGGAAGTTCTGGAAGGTGCCAAGATGACGAAGGCTGGAGGCCACTGACTATTACATGTTTATTACCTTCAATTGCTTGATGATCTCTGGCAATTTGATATTACTAAACATGTGCACATGTGTCAAGGATTAGATGGCTCAGCTTTCATTTTTACCCAAGGATGAACTTTTTACTATAGGAAGACAAACTCAATTTGCATAACTCTTGAAGAATTAGCAACAGAAAATATAGTTTCTTTAAGCTGTATACCCTTGCCCCCAATATCTTGATTTGTTAATAACTAATTCAGCTACTTAATATCTGTATGAAATATTCAGGCCTCTTCTCTGCCTTGTCCATTAAATTATTACTAATACTCTTTGGGCTTTTGCTGTGTCCTTTATCCATTTTTTTTTTGTTTAGATTCAAGGGTCTTTAAAAAGAATAGAAAGTGCATACCGTGTTTCTCCAACAATAGGGCCTCCCCCAATAGGAAGTCCCAGCATGTTTTATAGGCATAAAATTAAATTAAGCCTCTCCCCCAAATTAAGGCCTATTTTAAAACATGTGAAATGGGGGCAAGGGCGGTGGAGCTTGCCATTAGGAGAGCCCTGCAGGCAGCCATGCCTTGCCACCAACCTCCCTACTGTTGCCAAGTACTTTTGCTACACAGCCGGATATGGTGCTGCCTGCATTGACCTCGGCATTGGTGGGGCACTTCATATCTGGAGACCTTCCGCCACTGTTGCTTTCCCTTCTCTCCGTGCTCCCGCAGCATTTGGAGCATCACTGCGGTGTTTGGCTCAGCCATGCGGGGCTGGCCAGGGCTCCTCCCTTCAACCAGAGCCTGGAGGAGACGCTCATCTTCAGGTGCTCCTGTCACCACCTTCCCGGGCATCATTTGAAGACAAAGCCCATTCTTTTAAAAACAATGCCCTACTACAACAAAGACTCCCCTGCCCGAGAGGGCAGCCCAACCCCATGTGGGGAGGTGAATCTCCCGGGGCTACAGTGCAGGATCAGCCCACCTCGGGAGAAGCACCCAGCTGCCATCCCTGCCTGTGCCAGGCAGAGCATGAAGACCTTTGCCTGGGGGGCCCAGCGCAGCTGACAAGTGGGTCCTCCTGCCCGGCGGCAGTGCTCTGGCCAAGGCAGCAAGTGCTTCCAAGCCGGGCCCTCCATTCATCCTGCTAGGGTTGTGCCGGAGCTGGGTGGGCTGGGCACCCCTTGCCCAGCCCATCCCCACACATCTCCAAATGTGCCGGCAGCTCCAAATGCTGCGGCGATGCTCCAAACACTGCAGTGGCACAGGCATCAGGCAGAGGCACTCACTCGGTGGGGTTCAGCTCAGAAGAGAACATGGCTGTTGCCTCGCCTCCCTGTCTGAAGATGGGTGGGCTCTATCACTGCCTTGGGTATCCTCTCCCAGTGGCCCCTTTGGAGTCAGTCTGAAGGGACTTGGGAAGCCAAGCTTGGATTAGTCCAGCTCTTTCGCTTGGCAGGCAGGCGCGCACCCACAGCTCACTTTCCTGGCTCTGTCCAGCCCACCTGGCTCTGGCATGGCCCTGGCGGGATAAGTGGAGGGCCTGGCAGGGAGGCACTTGCTGCCTTGGCCAGAGCTCCACCACCAGGCAGGAGGGCCAGCCTGTCAGCTGCGCTGGGCACCCCAGGCAAAAGTCTTCGTACTCTGCCCGGCACCAGGCAGGGATGTTGGCCGAGTGCTTCTTCCGGGAAGGGCCAATCCTGCGCTGCAGCCCCGGGAGATTTGCCTCCCCACGTGGGGTTGGGCTGCTGTCTCAGGTAGGGAATGCTTTGTCGTAGTAGGGTGTCATTTTTAAAAGAATGGGCTTTGCCTTCAAACGATGCCTGGAAAGGTAGAGACAGGAGCGCCTGAAGATGAGTGTCTCCACTGGGCATCAGCCTGGTTGCAGGGAAGAGCCCTGGCCGGCCCCGTGTAACTGCGCTAAACACCACGTGATGCTCCAAATGCCGTGGCAGCATGGGGAGAAGGGAAAGCAATGGTGGCGGAAGGTCTCCCAATATGAAGTGCCCCACCAATGCTGAGGTCAACATCCAAGCCGTCGCTGCCTGCCCGTCCGAGGATGCAATTTTTTCAGGGCTCAAAAAAATAAAATAAGACCCGGCCTTATTATATGAGAAACATGGTAGGTAGGAATTGGATCCAGGCTAAAAATATTTCACTAACACTGATAATGTTACCTAGTGTTAGTAATGAAATGTTTTCAAGAAAACAACCAAGCTCAGAGGGAACCCAGGACCCCTCATTTCAACCTTGATCTATAAATATTCTCCTTTATTAAAAGTGTGTCATATTGGAAAAAAAAATCACACTGGCTATGACCTAAAGTCCATCCATTCAAGTATTTCTATTGTTCCAATGGTGGAAGTAACAAATATTAGCTGAGAGAAAGCTAATCTTTCTCACCTCTTCATATTTTTCTCATCCCTGGAACTGCTACTGGAAATAATATGTAATTTGACCACTTGAATTTGATCTAAGATACATGTTGAATGTTTTCAAATAAACAGTTTAATTATAAATTAATTAAATAAAATCATGTTTTAAAAATAGTCAAACTAATTTAGTTTGGATCTAATCCGATAAGTTTAAAGCCATATAAGTAAATGATTATAGCCAGTAAGTTTTATAATTAAGATAAAAATCTGCTTATTCAACAGTGGCATTAAATTACCAATCTGAAGGGCGGGTGATGCAGTTAAACCAAGCCAAGTTCAGGATGAACGGCAACTGTGGATACGTCCTGAAACCACAACAGATGTGCAAAGGTAATAAATACAAGGCAGTGCACACTGAATAGATTTAGTGTTCTTGCACATCCATCTATTAAAGATATCTTGGTTAATATTAAAATACGACACATGTTTGGAGAAAGTGGATAACATCAAACAGGTTAGTCTGGAGACTTTGATCAGGAGCAAGATATAATGAAATATTCCTATTTTAATAAAAGAGTGTTAAATGAAGAATGTAGCTATGCTATACTTTTGCAAACAAATGAAACATTTAATACAGTTGTTGATTTGGATCTGTGCTTTTATTTCACATCTAATGAATTGTATTTGTTTACTTGCTGTCACTTTGTACATGTTTTATTTTGATGGACAACAAAAATGGCTAAATACCCACATTTATTTATTATTTTTGTCTAGCAATAAATGTGACATATTCAATTCTAATACTAGCTTTATTCTTTCCTTTAATCCTCCCTGTAGGTTTTTCTCAAATGTACAGAAAACAAGTTGTATTTCTTATTTTAAGATTATACATTTCCACATTGTTCCTATCCATAGGCACTTTTAATCCATATTCTGGAGATCCTCTGCCTGCTCTCCCTAAAAAACAACTTATACTCAAAATCATCAGTGGTCAGCAACTACCAAAACCTCCAGATTCCATGTTAGGAGACAGAGGAGAGGTAAAATATATTTGTGATAGAGTTAAGAGTTAAGTTCATGTATGGTGGAAGAGATTCATTAATGACCTGAACAAAGGTATATATGTTTCTAATCAGGGGTAGGCTTCAAAAATTTCATCGACTGGTTCTCTGCCGAGTTGCTGGGTGGGCGTGGCCATGGTAGATGTGGCCTAGTCGGCTTCCTGCACCATGGTGGAGGGATGTTTTCGCCCTCCCTGGCCTCTGAGAGGGCAAAAATGGCCTCCTCTAGACCTTCTGGAGCCTCCGGGAGGCCCATTTCTCCCCCTCCCTGAGACTCTGTGCATGCCTTACTCACTTACCTCGCATCCAAAATGGGCGACTCCTGGGAGGGGAGGGGAGGGCTGGGCGGGGCGGGGCCAGGCAAGGGTGGGATTTGCCAGTTCACCGAACCTGCTGTAACATTAGCTACAGGTTTGCCCAAAAAAGGGTGAACCCTAGCAGGCCACCCCTGTTTCTAATCTGCATATAAAAGATTTTAGATAGAAGATAGACAGACAGAAAGACAGAATCATTATTTGTCATTGCATACGTAAAACTAATGAGGAAATAAGCATGTCAGTTTATGTATTTTAATAGAATGATGAAAGTGCCTTGCTGGAAATATGCTCTGCATGAGTGAGCAATGTCCAGCAATCAATTGGATGCCACCAGATGATCAGAGAAAAAGAGGAAGACCAAGAAAACTTGGCACCAAACATTTCAGAAAGACCTGAAAAACATCAACCTTAAATGGAGAGATATGGAGATTGTAGCCATGGATTGCGCATGGTGGAATATGCTAATAGCCCCATTAGCATATTTAGAATAAATTTCTTGTTAATGTATTCTTGCTAAAAAAATTGAATTCTAAAATACACTTTGCATTTCATATTAATAATGTAGGTACACACGTAACAGAAAAATGTTATAGCTTTTGAATGTAAAAGATTTAATTTATGATTTTTATGGTTGGATAATTTTCTGAATGCAAAGGGAAATTATTTAGTTTAAGTACAAACTACACTATTCCTCCACAGAATTATTGAATATTATTTTGCTTTTTAACTCTTCTTGGCTTTGTAACTGTTTATTTTCATTCTTCCTGCTGATTTAAATGATAGTAACCTGAAGAAAGGAGAATTACTTTATTAATAAACAATCCTTTAGTCAGAAATATATGTGAGACCTATATAGGATTTAGGTAAACATTTAAAAAATGGCGTTATAATAAAAATTCACTATCAAAAAATAAAAAAACTGCAAGTAATTTTTGTCGGAGAGGTTTTTTTTTTTAAAAGACTATGATCCAACAGACAATTATTGGAAACACTGAAATAAAAAGCTTTAGTTAGTTCAATTGACAGTGATTCTTTAATTCCATGTTTTTAGAACCACAGATTTTATTAGTACAATTTTTCTAGCTATTTAGTATGCGATGATAATCACCTAATGATGTTAATAATGCTATATTTGCATCTGCAAAGAAATCCCTTGTACTAAATCCAATATGGACTATTTCAGCTTGGCAATTGCTTTGCAAGTTGTCAAGGTAATGCTTTTCTTCAATAAATCTAATTTCAAGTTTTTTAAATGGTCATATCAGAAATGTAAGGGTAAGAGACTGTAATTACAAGTCCCATCAGTATTGATTTTAATCATGTTGACTAAAGCTGATTTTACTCCAGCAACATTTAAATGGGTGTAGGTTTCCCATACTCAAAAATATGACAACAGCTTTCTCAATATGGTGAACTTATATTTGTCTGAATAAAATCTATGCTTGCTTCAAAACACCTAATTAGCAAAATTCCAGCAGATGCTTCTCATTTCATCATCTAAATTCATGATCAACATTTAGTTTGAATATCTGAGCTGTGATCTAATAACACTATAATCTAATGCAATAGTTTACCCCATCTTTAAAACCTATGGATGCAATATATAAAAGATGGGATATTTACTTTAGATATTTATGAACAGGTCTCAAGCAGATTTTGGTTTTTTTTTAAATGTCTCAAACAGATAATCGATCCATTTGTTGAAGTTGAAATTATTGGGTTACCAGCTGATTGTTGCAAAGACCAGACCAGAGTTGTAGATGATAATGGTAAGAGATACACCTTGCAGATTTTCAGTTTCTCACCAAAAATAGTGTTGGCAAAATTCAGCCATTTTGCTTCACAATTTTGATGTCATTATTTCTTGGCACATTCTGTAAATGAAGGCTAAGGGTTGCTGAAGGGTGCTCATCAGTGTTTTAAAATGGAAGGTTTAGAACAAGTATGGGAGGGAAGAGGGAGTATTTAAATATTAATTCTCCAAGCAGGATACAGTCGCCAGAGGAAAGACACTGGCTAAAAATGGTCTTTCAGTTAGGGTATGGAATGGCTTTGTTTCCCAGCCTTAGCTCCCTCTTCTTTGCCATCTCTTCTGGGATTGAGCTGCAGAGATTTTGACTTGAAAATCTCAGGTTCTAGAAATTTTGATCTTGATGGATTAGGCTGTAGCTTAGACTTGACAGTAATGTGGGACATTGAATGCTATTAGATAAATGGATGGAACAGTTGGCCAGTCAGTTAAAATCCACCAGTGGGGTTCATGAAGCTGCTGAGATAATGCATTTGGCTTGTCATTTCTTCTTGGGGTTGGAAGCAAAGCATGAATGTATTTGGTTACATACTTAGCCAAGGACAATGCTTAAGATTTTTTAATGTTAATATGAAATATGATACCCAATTATATATAATTTAATTTAAAATAAGTGCATTTTATACAGTATAATTGTGTTTGCAAGTGATTTAAATTAAAATAACCTAAAACAGAAATACTTCTGTATTGCATAAGGGTTTATTGTATACAACCAGTTCTTCATTAAATAAAATTCCTCTTACTTTTGGCATATAGATGACTTGTAAATTGATCTGTAAATCAAAAATAACACATATTTTTTCTGATTAATGTTACTTTAACATTTGCTATATATTTTGTTCCTCACAGGATTCAACCCTGTTTGGGAAGAAAGCCTAACTTTCACTATCCACATGCCTGAAATAGCTTTGGTTCGATTTCTAGTTTGGGATCATGACCCCATTGGCCGAGATTTTGTGGGGCAAAGAACTGTGGCTTTTAGCAGCTTGATGCCTGGTGAGTCCATTAGCTTTACTGTCTTTTCTTTAGCTGCTTCACTAGCAAGTGAAATGAATTTCTTTTCACAATCTATGGTGTGGGAAACTCCAATTATGTTTCTCAAATCTCTCAATACTAAAAATCGCTACCATTTCTGAGATGGAAAACTAAACCTATGAAGGACTATCCCTGTGAGCCAATTGGAGTGAAAATAGTTTTCACTAATATATCTTTTAAGCCATTTAAGATTGGGATTAGCAGATCTATTGATAATATTCTTTCAGTCCATTCACTGGATAAATGTTGCACAATGTATTTATTAATAAAAATAATCTAAATTGTCCTTTCTGATTTGTAAAATCCGTGCAGAAGTCTTTCCAACCAGAATTCCTATTTCCACTTATACAGTTTAGTTCAGACTATTGTGGCATAGTTATTAGAAAACTGAACTAGGCACAGAAGCACACTAGATAATTTTGGGCAATCTTTCTCAAGTCAATCTACCTCATAAGTTTGTTGTGGAGGAAAAATAGGAAAAAAAAACTCCATGTATGCTGCCTTGTGCTCCTGTAGAAAAGGTGGCGTATACCTCTAACAACTAAAACAAATATTTAAATTTAACCTCTATATTTTTGCACTTATTCACTTCCCCTGTGTTATTAGATATGCTGTCTGAAGGTTGTACAGTAACATTTAGAAAATAGCAGAATCACATACCAGTTTACAGGAATAATCTGCATCAAATTGCAGGTTTTCAAACACTTATCTTTCAATTCTCTGCAACAAGTTGAAAATGAAAACATTTACTTTTCCTATAGAGCAAGTAGTTCTGTGCTCTATTCATTTTTGGAGAGTTTAGTCTCATTAACCCAGGTCAAGCTTAATCAGAATAAAAAAATGGTTGAAATTCCTGATTGTTAACCTTTACCTAAAACATATTTTTCAAATTGTATGGTGGTTTGTTAAAAAAAAAGAAAAGACACTTTCACACTCTCACACGTTTATGATGAGTCTGAAGTTTTTCTTAGTTCATTTGTTTTCATTATCTAGTCATCTTTCGTGTTCTTTATTAGTTTGTCATAACTGGATTCCTACACCATGCTATATACAAAATATGCTCTGGTCATATAACACGTGACGCTGAAACCACCAAATCATGTTATGGCTTCATTTGATACACTAACTTTATTCCATATGCAAAGATAGTGACTTAGTTCCCATAGTACCTCTGAATCAAAAACTACCTAACCTTCATAAATGAAGGCAAATGTCCGTGTCCCATGATAATGTTGCAGGATCCAATCTGAGTCAGTCACTAGGACAGGGGTTTAGTCTTCTGAGCTTTTGGACTTGTGCTGGAGCTCATCTGCAGGAAACTTCTCTCTATCAGAATGTGTACCCAACCTTCTTTTAATCTAGTCTAACATCCTGTATGAACTATTTTATGTATAACATTGTAGGATAGCATCTTAACTATGAAACATAACCATTTAATAGTGTTGATGATGTTCACCTTCAACAGGTTATCGTCATGTTTACTTAGAAGGACTGACTGAAGCATCAATTTTTGTTCATATAACCATCAATGAAATTTATGGAAAGGTAAGAGATAAGTATTTAGTTCTACATATTGAACAATTAAGATTGACATTTCATGTGATAATGAAAGAGCAGCTGTTGATTAACCACAGATTTAAGCTACAACTTCAGCCTTCTAGTTTCAAAGTGCGAAAGTTAAAGTATGTCCAAGTCTTGACTGAGTTTTTTATACGTAAGATACAATCGCTTTCACTAGTGCCATATCTCCAGATACACTGGCACTCCCAATATTTCTGGAGGGTATAGACTTAAGTTTCAAAACCATGAATTGTGTTAGGTACTTATAATGGAAGTAATTGACATTTAACAAATGCTACTTATCTTAGACATGAAATAATTTATTATCTGCTGCTGGGCAAATTACTGTGCCCAAATGTTTATGAGAATATTTCTTTCCTACCTATTTTTTTCCTTTCACATGCATCTTTTTATTTAAAAAGTTAAACTGACTCCCCTCCCCAATTTGGGGATTAATAACCAAAATTAGGGGTAGGCTTAATAACAGTAATTTAGCTCTCATTTCTCATTGAACTGTAAAAATACTTCTTCACTGGAATTTTTTTCTTTTACTGGTAATTGCTTTGTGCTTAGTTTGAATCAATTTTAAAGCAAAGCTACTGCTATTCTCTTATGTTTCGGAATTTGGAAAATTTTAAAACTTAGTTTAAGTTTTAAAATGGCAAATAATTAATTTTCTGCAAACTACTTTTTCTCAATTTCTGTTATGGGAGAATATTTTAGTTGCTTAGGGGCTGTAGAACAATAGAGAGGCTCATCTCATATCATGCAGAAAATATGCTCAATGTTTGGCCTTTCTAAGTGAGCGACAAAAGACTCCCACCTGAATCACTGGCCAGTTGAGGACATTAGTTTGCAAATAAGGAATTGAAATGACTTTGATATTTTTTGTGTGTCCCCGGCAACAATATTTAAGGTGCTTCAGTTGCTATCATTGCAAAGCAGTTGCAAGCAATTGCATTTATGAAACACAGTATAAACTATTGATTGTGCTTGCTGACTACATTCAGCAAAGTTCAGTAATTCTGAACTCTGATTTATTGTTAAAGATGACAGCCTAGGTAAATCTCAGATTAGAGGGTCATGGGCTGTAAATCACAGTGAACTTCAGGATAGTATGTCATATTTTTTGGGTGCAGCCACAAGAAGATTGGATCTTTTGGTTTACTACTTACTGAATGGATTCAGCTGATCCTAACTGTGGGTTCAGTAAAGGGTTACCATTTTATCTGAATTCAATCTATGATTTGGGAATAATTGACTTTGTCCATTTAGCTTCATGATCTTGATGCATAAATATGCTATTTTAATTGTTCCAAGTAACTTTATCTTTAGTGATTCAAAAGGGAAGATGAACAAAAGATTCTCTAGTCCAGTGGTGGCTAACCTTTTTCGGCTCCCAGAAAACAATGTGTGCTTCCCCCACCACTCCCCTTGTGCTGCGCATCTCTGCACATGCAGGTGCATCTCCCGTGCACCCCCGGCCCCTGCATATGTGCGCCAGATACCTGATAATCAGCTGTCGGGCAGCAGCATGCGCATGCACAGTGGGGCTCTTCCAGGTGACCTCTCTTGTGCTGGTAGAAGTGGCTCTGCGTGCCACTTCTGGCACATGTGCCATAGGTTCGCCATCATGGCTGTAGTCTATTGTGGCAATAATTGTACCACTTTTCAGCCAATTTTAGTTTCATAAGCCACCCCCCCCCCCCAAAAAAAGCAAAAAATTTCAGCACTGCAATGTGCAAAAGAGGTCCTCTCCAATTTGATAAAAATCAGATTTTTCACAGTACATTTTCTAGGATGCCCACATTAATCCATTTTACATCATGGGGCATCAATCACTCAGTGCTGATGTTAGTAATCATTGGCCTCCTTTTCCATGGTTCTCCCTTGTCTGCTTAAAAATCAGAGGGGGGGTTTTCTTCTTTTGAGGAGCTTTTCTTCTTTTTGCTTGGTGCTCCATGAATCTAGAACTCTGATTCTTGACTTGGATTGTTATTCAAAGAAATACAAAATAAATGAGTATTTCAAGCCTGAGGAAATGTTCAGAAATCTTCTCCCCTGACGTCTTTCATTCTCTGTTCTTTAGAATGCTCTGGATACAGAGATTGGCCAGACAATTTTGTGAGCCTTTGAAGGGTTACCCATTAGCTACCAACAGCCATGCCAAGGATTGCTAGAGATGTAGCTCCTTTGCAAAGGAATCTCTGACTTGGTCCTTTGGGAGTTATTGCCTTTATTTTCTGCCAGTAATCAACAGAGGTGGGAGAGAAAGAGAGCCATTTGATGTATGTTTCTTTAAAGGAAATTTTCACCAGGAAGTAGAAATCTTAACAGGAAGGCCATACAGGTAGTCCTTGACTTATGACCACAATTGAGCCCAACATTTCTGTTGCTAAGTGAGCCATTTGTTAAGTGAGTTTTGTCTCCATTTTACAACTTTTCTTGCCATAGTTGTTAAGTGAATCACTGCGGTTGTTTAGTAACATGGTTGTTTCAGTGAATGCGGCTTCCCCATTGGCTTTGCTTGTCTGAAGGTTGCAAAAGGAGAATCACATAGTTCTGGGACACTGCAACCATCATAAATATGAGTCAGTTGCCAAGCATCTGAATTTTGAGCATATGTATGACTCCAGAGGTGCCGCAATGGTTGCAACAGTGAAAAATGGTCATAAAGTGCCATTGTGGTTTTGAACAGTCAACTAAATGAACTTAGTGAGGACTACCTGTATCATTCAGCAGGACCTATCCACCCGAAGGAAGCAGTGGAATGCCAAAAGCAGCTCTGCCATTTATCTGTAATAATAATAATTTACTATTATGTATGTATTTTCTTGTGATTCAGATAAAGAAATTGAGTTCAACATTTCTGCTTCTTCTTCTTCTTTTTTGCCTTTCAGTGGAGTCCTTTAATCCTCAATCCCAGTTATACTATCATGCATTTTCTAGGAGCCACAAAGGTAGCTTTTATTTAGCATGCAATTTTGCACTGGCTGGGTGCCTCCCCCCGACTTTTTTTGGAGGGTTTTTGAATCGCATGCTCTTTTATTGCCATAGTGCTTTATTTTTCATCAAGCATTTGAAAATGTGTGCTGCTGCTTTGAAGGTCCCGTGTGATAAAATGACATGCTTTGGGGCCAGGCTAGCTTCTCACCTAAGGAAAGGTCTTGCAAGCTTATCATATGCCATTAGGAAGTGTCTTGTAAAATCTCTTTTGCTTCTAGGCAGGCTGCCTCTTTTTTTTTCTTCTTATACATGCATGAACTCATGGTGAGCTTCACCTTTTTTGATCAGCTAGCTGTGAACTTGCTTCATTTGATGGCTTTCCTTGATTTGCTTGAGATTTTCGTCACTGCTCAGATTTTCTTATCAGTCACTGCTCAGATAATATGTGCAAATAGAGCAATGTAGAAGTTCCTTTATGTAAAACAAGCCTTTCTTCTCTCCCCCACAAAAAATCTCTAGATCTTTTCTCCTCTCCCATTTTCTTTTTCTTTTTTCTTCCAGAACAAGCAACTAATAGGACTCCGGGGGCTTTTTAATAAGAACTCCAAACATAATTCAGTGGAAAACAGCACTAATTATATCCGGAAAAGGTCGCTTGGGGACCGAATCCTTCGACGCACAGCCAGCGCTCCAGCAAAGGGCAGGAAAAAAAGCAAAATGGGCTTTCAAGAGACCACTGACCTTAAGGAAAGTGTATCTGATACGTTGGACTTGAAAGAGAAGGAAGGAGGTTTCAGGCAAACAAGCAGAAGCTTACAATTGCGTCCCATTTCCATGCCAGTTGAAAAATATCTCCTGGCGGGATTGCCACCACCAGACCACGATGCTAGTGGAGTTGTTGAAGTTACCAAAAGTGAAAGTACATCTGGTAAGTGCTTACTAAGAGGCTTTCAGGAATAATAAATTTGAGACCTTTTGATCAAATCATTCTGTGCTTGTTGCTTGAAAATTAGTCTAGTAGGATGTACAGACATGTATACATAAACACCGGGCTTACTTGTATACCTAACATCCTATTTCCTTTTGAAACAAGGCACATGGCCCAGAAAAGTGGTGAGTAGCTAGCAAAATAAATTAAAATCATGATAGGAATGGAAATCTCACTAATTCTAATTCACAACAACTTTGTTTATTGTACCTCTCCATACTTTTCTGTCCTTGCAAACCATCTCTGTTTCTACGATATCAATTCATTGCTTTTTGTCCTGTAAACTTCTTAGCTCTCTCTTTTTGAAAGTCTCATTAACTCCATGCAACCACTACAATCTTACCCTTCTCCTTCTTCTTACTACTCACTCTTTCATATATTTGTTTTGAAATATGATCTTCATTCATTCTCTCTATATGACCAAATCGCCTAATTGCACTTCTTCTATTAGTCTTTCTCTTTTTTAATCAAGCCACATTCACTCATTACCTATTCATTCTTGAATCTACCTGATTTGGTTTTAACATCTTAAATATGCCATTTCTACTACACTCAACTTTTTAAATATCCCTATTGCCATACATAAATCTCAATTCCATATAAAACAATGGACAGAAATATACCTCACATACTTCTATTATCTACTACCATCCATTTTCTTTACCAACATTTATATGTCTTAAAATGTTTCCATTTCCCCACTTTTAATAAACATTCTCCCAAAGTATACAAATTCATCTATCTGCTCTAATTTTTCTCCTTCGTGTACTTAAAACTTGTAATTGTTACTCCATTTTATGTGTCAATTTTAGCTGTGTTGATCTACATTTTCAGATCCATATTGCCTTTTATATTATATAGTCTAGCTAATATTCACTGCAAATCATTCAAAGTGTCAGTCAATAACATGGCCCTCTGCATATACATTTGCAGCTCTCAGAAACACCCCTCTATTTTTAACCACAAACACTAGATTTTCCATATGTTGAAGTCAGACTTTCAATAGAAGCAGCAGCTTGGGTAACCACAAGCATTTATTATAGATTAATCCATCGATACTTTAAACAGCCAAGGAATATCATAAATTCTTGTCTTATTCTCTGCTCAGTGTTAAAGCCACGTTTTATTCTCACACATTTTACGTCCATCATAGATTGCTCTTATCACAGTCAGCAATAAACTTTCACCTCCATATTAATGCCAGGTCTTTGGTAATTCACAGTGTCTATAAAGAGCAGTCTGCTTTATAACCTTGAAAGTCTAGACTATATTTTAAATGATACTATAGGCAAAGGGAAAAGAAAATATTTGTATATTATTAACAATACATGAATCTTGCTGATGCATGGAGTACACGTTTTGGATGTTATAATTCAAGGGTTCTGATAAATATGCCTCTTGTTACAGATGTTTTTTTTTTAACAGAGCTATTTTATTCTCTTTGTTTGTCATGTTCCTTTATAGTACAAATCTGAATAGGAATACATCTGAAGGTAATTCCACACGTCTAGATTATGATACCTCATTGACTTTCTTTATACAAATATTACATCATGATTGCAGTGATGTAATAAAGCATTGAAGAAAAACTTCAGTGAAATACCTCCCACTGTATATTTTTTCCATTTCTTCACATCACATGAGTAATTTGTAGTAAATGCATAATTAATTTCTTTTCCACAACTGTGACTGATTTTACATTCTCCATTTCTCTGTGGATAAACTAATCATAAAGAAGTATGGTAATATTTATAACCAAATTTTTGTTTTTGTTTTCTGTTTGAATTGATTTAGCAGAAAGCAGAAACAATACAAGTGAGGATTGTACAAATGCAAAGAAAACCATCACCTCTTCTGAGAAAAAATCATGTTTTATGTACCAGCTTAAGAAAGATGTACCGAAGTCTGGTCCATGTGATACACTTTGTCCTGATGAAAAAGGAGAAAGCCTAAACTTTGCAATTGGGATAGCAGAAACCTATTTCTCCACTGAGTATTGGAAAAGTAATCTTCCCAATGAATTTGTTCATGTAAAGGAAGACCTTGAAAGAAAAAAACATGGAGACATAAGCTACATGGATCCAAAGACATTGGAGATGACTACACTTTGCAAAGAAAAGCAGAAAATAGCAGATGAAAAAGCTAATATGGAATCCTGCCCGATTTTAAATACAACAGTAACTAATGTGTGTGGCTTTAATTGTACACCATCTATCCCAGATAGTGACATTTCTTGTCTGATTAATGAGGTCTCCCTAGCTGACGAGAGAGAAAGGGATAACTCTATCTCGAAGCTGATAGAACAAGTTGATGTCACAAGTGACCAAACTGACTTAATTCTCGTTTCAAGTCCCTCTAATATTAATAAAGAGAACAGAAATCTGAAGTCCATATATCTACCATGTACATCATTGAATGAACAAAGCATCATTTTGGATGATAAGTCCTTAAACTTAAAATCAGCTGGATCAGCTTGTTCAATTGGTTCAAGAGTGGAAAATACCATAATATCCACCCCTAAGACAACAGGGTGTTCTCTGTACACAATTATCCATGAGGCTTCTGTTTCTCCAGTTTCTCAGTCTGCATTAATGGATATATCTGTTTGCAAAAATACAACCAAGGATGCAAAAGACAGTTGCGTAAATGAGGATGCCAAACATACTTCCTGCATTACACCTGTCACCATGCAGAAAGCAAACCCTAAAAGAAAATGTGGAACAAACTGGGAATTTCTCAGCAATAGCAATTCCTATACTTCTGACATACAGAATACCATAGTTGTCCCAGTCACTTGTGCAAATTCTACAGGTAGTAGCCTAATGGAAATTGATGGGGAATTGCAAGACCTCTTGATAACTGCGTTTGAATATAAGATAGAAGATATGAGCCAAGTTGCTTCTCCTCTGAAACTTAAGCATAGTCAGGATACATTATACTATAACAAAACTATATGTGAACCCCTAAAGAGCATGGACTTTCCCAATGAAAACCTAGCTGAAGATTTAAAGTTCAACAATGGTAAGAATCCATGTTTTCCATACCCACATCAGCAGAGGTTTGAACTTTTGTACAATAATTGTTTGCAAATTTCAGATGCACAAAATGAATTGTTAAATATTCCTCAATCAGCCAGCATCAATGCTGCTCTTAAGCCCAAAAATGTTTTGCCTTCACCCTTTCCTGGAGGTCAAAAGCAACAGAGCCCTTGTAAATCAAAAAGTCTTGGTGATTTAACTTCAGAAGATATCTCATGCAATTTTGAAAGCAAGTACAAATACATTAGTAGAGGTTTTATTACATCTGGTATGAGAGACAATATGGTGGCCACTCTGAAGGCCAAGAAACCATCAACTACAGACATTCTGACTGAACAACTGCGAAAACTTGTGTCTTTTGATCAAGAAGAAAGTTGCCAATCATTTTATTCAAAACAAAATGATGACTGCCCAAAAATGCTGGTCAGAAAACTGTCATCCAGAAGTCAAAGTAGAGTGAGAAATATTGCTAGCCGTGCCAAGGAACGACAAGAAGCCAATAAACAAAAACCTTCCTATGTTAGCAGTAATGTAACAGACATAGTCCTTCGAAATAAGCCCCCAGTACCGCCTCATATCATCAATAGGCATTCTACTGGATCTTATATAGCAAGCTATCTAGATAACTTCAACACAGATGACCTAGAAAGCAGAGGGATCCCAGAAGGTGCCTGTTCATCTTTGCATTTGGGGTACAGTGACCGGTTTTGTACAGATGACACTCTTTTAGAGACCAAGCCAAATGAAAATGACAAACCAGAAATCTATTTTCTCCTAAGACTATAAATTGTAAAAATGTACATCTTCATTGTTTACAAGCTTTCTTGCTGAATGAAGGATTACCAGTAAGCAGTGCATTCATTAGCCTTTCAATTACTCAGATTTTTTTGGGGGTATAGCTTGAACCGTGTAATTAATTATTGTGTCCATTTTGATAAATGTTTATGTAAATAGATGTGGCAATATTCATGTATTTGTTTTCCTTTTTTTGAGAATTTTGAGAAATGCCATGTTTGCTGCATTTTTGAACTACTACAGATTTTTAGAGTAATTATCACCCATCATATAATTCTCTTCCTGAAGAATTAATTGTTTTTAATTTAATGCCTTTTCCAGTTTAAACAAAATGTAAGATATCCTAAATTTAAATTTCATACCTTCCATATTTATTAGATAATAATATATTTCCTACACTGAGGAGGAACATTCTTTCATAAACTGCAGAAACTTTCATTTTTCCAAATTCTGTAGTGTTTAGTAGTTTGCTGGATTGTGTATCCCATTTCTTCTTCTTCTGTTGCTGCTGCTTTATTTATTTCAGCTAGACTCCCAAGAAATCCAGTTCTTCCCTTAATTGTTTTCAGCAATACAAGTGATGATTTAGTGTGATTAAGGATTATGTGATTTGTTTTCTATATCATTTCATTGTAGATATTTGATTGTTTTGATACTGCTATGTTAGAGCACAGTAAATAGTGGATATTGTCCCAAAGAATATCCTCTGGAGTGATGTAAAGATTTGTGCTTCTTTCATTGGCTGTTTAAATTAAGTGCTCTGTGATGTCAAAGAGCTCATGAGTTCAATTGTTTTCTGTTGTTGATAATGAGATTAAAAGAAAATCCAGCAAAGTAGTTGCCAAAGTTACTTCGCCAAACCTGCACCCCTGCTCAAAGCATTAAAGCAGCTGCTTCCTCTAGCACAGGGGTATCAAACTCATGGCATCACATTGCCGCCACGTGATGTTTTTCTCCCCTTCACGGAGCTGGGGTGGGTATGGCCTGAGTGTGATGCATCTGGCCCATGGTCCGCCAGTTTGTCACCCCTTTTCTAGCAGGTTCACACAGTAACTTTGAAGACAAGTTCCAGCTGTCCCTACACAGCAGTCTAAGTTGAAATGTTGCCACTGTTGCATTTGTACCTTCAAACAATTGGATAGTGAGCATTCCAGAGGATGTGGCTGTTTTATCCTTTAAGCAAAAA